AAAAAGATTCTTTCTAACAAACTTTTAATCAACAAAATATTATTTGAAATAAAGAATAATCTTTACCCAATGTTAATATGCCTAATGTTTTACATAAATGTTTTACTGATACAAAATGCACTTAACTGCATTTATTAAATCGTTAAATTACATAATCATTAGAACCAAGCGGAAGCAGAGAAAAATGGCATTAGTTTCCTGGATGCGATATTGGCATTATATCAGCAAAATCACAAGGGCAAAGGATGCATTTGAGACAAGATGAATTATAACACCTTATCAGAACGCGATATAGATAGTTCCATGGCTGTTTCCACCCCCTTAGTATAAAATTCACAGCAGCCATAATTCTTCCGCATTGCTGCAAGTGAAAGACTGGATGTTACATCGACAGACCGATCTTTTTTATCTTTCGATCTGATCACGCCACAGGATGTTACGCCTCTTAATTTTGTAAGTTTCGTGAAAAGTGGATATAAAGTTTTTCATCGACGACTCTTCCATTACATCATTTTTACATATCTTTTTCCAGAGCGTCTATGTGCGCTATTATTAACGCCGGCATATTATCAAATTACATGCTGGAATATCCTCGTACTTTGCAAAGCTTGTTCGGCACGAAAAGAGAAGCCACTGAGGAGAGAACTGGTGAACGCGAAGTATGCAAGACCAAAGAATGCAGTTTAATTGGTAAGTAGTAATTCATATGAAGTATATTTAATCAAAAGATGAAAGCAATTTACGATCAAATAAAAATTTGCCAATCTTTATGACTTAGCAAAAATAATAAAGGAGAGTATGGATGAGTCAGTGGACCCATGCGACGATTTTTATGACTATGCTTGTGGAAATTGGTCGAATGTCACTCCCATACCTGAAAATGCTTCTACCTGGAGTATGTGGGAAATGGTGCAGGAGAGGATCGAAGGACAAATTAAAGGTTTGTCACTTTTAATGTATTTGGATTACAATTTCTACACTCTCATTCAATGCGAAAGTAGTATTATACTAATATAATGACCTCGTTGCGAAATTAAAAATAAGTGAATTACCACG